GAGAAGGTGGGAAAGGGAAGGAGGACCCCCAAGGAGGAGGGAGGTGGTATTCTGACCCGGGACCCCCCCGGGGACCCCCCCGGGACCCCCCCCGGGCTTCCCCCGGGACCACCCCCTCCTCCCTGGCCCGGGAAGGGAACAAAGGGAAGGGGAAACCCTTCCAGTCAGTTTATTTTACGCAGGAGGAAGAGATGAAGGAGGAGGAGGAGGAGGAGGAGGAGGAAGAGGAGGAGAAGGAGGACGAGGAGGAAGAGGAGGAGGAGAGGGAGACGAACGAGAAGGAGACGGAGAAGGTGGGAAAGGGAAGGAGGCACGGACGAGAAGAACAACCCATTCCACACGCCTACAGGGTCGGCGGATTCCTTACGTGCCACGTGAAATTGGCGCAGTCCCTAAACAAGGGGATTGGAGGGAGGAGTGAAGAGACAAAGGGGAGGGATAAGGACCGAGGGCGAGAGAGACTAGCAGGAGGGGAGTTAAGAGCAGGTAGACAAGATGCATAGCCAGACGGCCAGGTCTGCCGTTCGGATCCAAACGGGCGGGTCTGGCGGGCGGGCCAGACGGCCGGGTTGAACGAGGAGGGAAGGGGCACGGGGAGGGAGGGGGATGGAGGACGAGGAAGATGAGCAGGGAGGGGGGAAGAGAGAGGAGCAAGAGAGACGGAACGCAACCAGCCAGGCGGTGCCGTCGGGCGGGTCGGGCGGACGGACGGGGCACGAGAGCTGCATCGAGTGGCGGCTGCGGGCCTCCGGTCGGGCGGGCGGGCCAACAAATACCCACGCAGATCGCAAAGACAGTTTAGTCGAGAGTGCACGCACTGGGTCAACCGCGAGGAAGTCCCGAGCGAGAGCGCCACTCATTGGTAACCTACACGGAGGGCCCGAGCGAGAGCGCCGTTCTTTGATAGATAGCAAAGCAGCGCGTTGAGTAAACCGTCAGGAACTCCTGGGCGAGAGTGTAATTCTTTAGTGTCGAGGGCGCGGCGCCTGAATCAATTGCTACATGGTAGATCCCTCTCGAGAGAGCGATCCGGGGGTAATGTGCAAAGAAATCTCGACAGCGGGAGCGCGATTCTTCAATACACTGTAAGGAGATATCCGGTGCCAGCCGCTGCTGTTCTATACGCGGGGCCGAAAACACTGCCCTGGCCAACAAAAACATGTCAGCCAGCGTGGACCCCAAACAGTAGTTATGTTCTTGCAGACTGTGCGGTGCGATCTACGTGGTGCAACGTATGCGATGCAACTTGTGTAAGACAATCTATGCGGTGCAATCTATGTGGTGCAATCTACGCGGTGCAGTTTATGTAGTGCAAACAATATACGTGGTGTAACCTATGTGGTGCAAACTAGGAGGTGCAACCTATGCAGTGCAGTCTATGCGGTGCAATCTACGTGGTGTAATTTACGCGATGCAACCTATGTAATAGAATATATGCGGTGCGATCTATTCGGTGCAATCTACGTGGTGCAATCTACGCGGTGCAACCTATGCAATGCAGTCTATGCGGTGCTATATACGTGCTGCAATCTATGTGGTGCAATTAATCTTGACCGTCTTGAAGCTGTCTTCTCCACTGCTCGTGCAACCATCCCACCCTCCTACCCGGAACTTGGTCGCAAGACCTCTTCAGACAAGACCGTGACGGTAGGTACCACATGGCCTTTGGCCACGACACCGACGCCGACGACGACAGCGACATCGACGACGACGGCGCCGCCGACACCGACTGCGACGACACCGACGACGTCTCCAACGTTTTCGACGACGACAACGACGACGACGACACCGACGACGACGACGACGACGACGTCAACGACGCCGACGACGACGACGAAGACGACGACGACGTCGCCAACGGAGACGACGAGGGAGGAGAAAAAACCACGACGGCGACAACGACGACAACGACGAAGGAGGAGGGAAGACGGCGACGACGCTAACGACGAAGAAGAAGGAAGGACGGCGACGCCGACGACGACAACGACGAGGGAGGAGGGAAGACGACGACGACGACGACGACGACAACGACGACGAAGACGACGACGACGGCGACGAAATAGGAGGGACGACGACGAGACGCCGACGACGGACGACGACGACGAGGGAGGAGGATAACGACGAGGGAGGAGTGAAGACCACGACGACGACGACGACGACGACGACGGCGACGAAATAGGAGGGACAACGACGAGACGCCGACGAAGACAACGAGGGAGGAAGGACGACCACGGCGACAACGACGACGGAAGCGACGACGACGCCAAGACGACGACGACGACGACGACGAGGAAAGACAGAAGACGACGACGACGACGACGAGGGAGGAGGGAGGACGACGACGACGACGACGACGACGCAAGAGCGCGCGCGCACACTTTTTAGAAAACCCGTGTTGCGAAACTTTGTGTTTTTGTAGGTTTTTTGACGCACGATTTCAAAATCTTTCCGAAACCGAAGGTTTTTGAAGGATTTCAGCATACGCCCGCGACGTCGCGCGCGTCTGCACTTCGTCCTTTTTTTGCAGAGGATTCTCGCGACGGCACACGCGCAAGGGCGTTCGACAGATTTCGAGATGAGCGCGCGCGAAGCCCGTTTGGTAGAATTTTGTGAAAATCTTGGAAAACCAATGGTTTTCTTAAGATTTCGCAAGAGCTCGCGCGTAAGCTTTTTTAGCAAATCAGTGTTGCGAAACCATGTGTGTTTTGTATGTTTGTTTGGAAATTCAATTTTGCAATCTCTCCGGAACCGAAGGTTTTTGAAGGATTTCGGCATGCGCGCGCGACGACGCGCGCGTGCGCACTTCGTCCCATTTTTTGTAAGGGATTCGTGAACAAGTGCTATGTTAGAACAAAAATTGTCACCGCATAGTGTTTTTTACAGGGGGAACCTCAGGGGGGGAAACTGGCCTGCCTGGGATGGTATGATTTCATATTTAGGATAGAGGAGTGTGCAGAATATATATGAAATTATATATCTCACGGGGAAGCGTTAAGTCCGGGCGGGGGGGGGGTAGAGTCTATTTTTTTTTAGAAAGGAGCATCTATGCGACGGCGACGGCGGCGACGGACGGCACCGCCCGCAAAAGCCGCCACTCGCCCCGAGCGGCGGCGACGGCGACGGCGACGGCGGCGACGGGCGGAACCGCCCGCAAAAGCCGCCAACCACCCCGATATGGTTAAGCCAAATCAGAACCCCTAAGTTCAAACACTGTTTGGGGAAGATTGCGAGCCTCGGGGGGGGCACTCCAATCGAAAAGACACATATGTTACCGCGCAGGGGAACAGCAGTAATTAGTTTAGGCGTGCGATGCCCATCGTTTTCATCAGCACGCAGGTCAATGAGCAGGTATATCCCAAACCCTCGATACCCAGCCTCTTCTTCTTCGAACGCGCCCCCTTTTTGGGTACATTCTTTCGCCTGCCACGTGAGGTTTGTGCAGCCCCTATAAAAGGAGGGGGAATAAGGAACAAAGGGAAGGAGCGAGGAGGAAAAGCTTGTCGTCAGGGAGGGAGGGAGGAGGGAAAGGGCAAGGGGGGGAGGAGGATGGAGGAACGGACCCAGGCGGGCGGGGCCGGCGGGCCGGGGTGGGCTGAGCTGAACGGGCGGGTCGGGACGGCCATGAATGCGGCAGCGAGTGGCGTTTGCGGGCCCCAGCGAGCGGGTCGGGCGCGCGGGCCCCGACGGGCGGGCTGGGCGGGCGGGCCATCAAAATGCCGAGGAGGTCAAGCGGCAAGGGGGAGGGAGGAGGGAAGGACCAAGGGGGAGGCAGAAGGATGCATCACGAGAAACACTTGTAGGAAGGGGATTGGAGCGTGCGAAGCGTGGAAAAGCAAGCAGCAGAACCAGACGGGCGGGTGGGCGGGCGGGGACCCACCCTGACGGGCAGGTCGGGCGGGCGGGCCCCGACGGGCGGGTCGGGCGGGCGGGTCGCTGAAGCTTCAGTCTTATATGAATCAGGAGGAAGTCTTGAGCGATAGCGTGATTCTAAAGTAAATCGTTCGGAAATCCAGAGCGAGAGCGTGATTCTTGAGTGTCGAGGGCGCGGCGTTTGAATAAATTGCGAGGAAGCCCAACGCGAGAGCATGGTTCTTCAACAAATTGTAGGGAAGTCTCGCGCGAGAGCGCCATCTTGAATCAAATGTGAGGAGGTTTCAGGCGGGAGCCGCTGTTGTTGCAAACCGGGGGCCAACAACACAGTCTGAGGGCCAGGGGCGTGCCCCTGGAAGGGCACCGGAGAGGGGGTCACCAAACATTATTGTTTATGTAGCACCCCGCAGTTGCGGGTAGGATTGAGTGGGCAGCGGGGTCGTCGGCAGTCTGCGAGGCTTTGAAGAAGCCCGCCGCATGCGCCGAACTTTTCGTCAAAGCAAGTGGGTGGGGAACGGGTGGGTTGCGGGTGGGTCGCGGGGCGGGTCGCGAGTGGGTCGCGGGTGGGTCGCGGGGTGGGTCGCGGGGTGGGTCGCGGGATGGGTCGCGGGGTGGGCCGTGGGCGGGTCGCGGGTGGGTCGCGGGTGGGTCGTAGGTGGGACGACGACAACAACGCAACGCAACGCAATGCATCAACAACAATTTCAACAATCACAACCACAACAACAACCACAACCACAACAACAATAACAACAGTAACAGCAACATCAACAGCAACAGCAACAGCAACCACAGTCACAACCACAACCACAACCACAACCACAACCACAACCACAACCACAACCACAACCACCACAACCACAACAATCAGTTTAAGATTGATCGCTCCTATCTGCTCGCTTGCCAATCAACACTCAGATTCCAGACCCTCGGTGCCCGTTCCCGTCGTCTTCGATCATACCCCCTTGGGTGTATATCTTCCTGACATGCCGCGAGCATTTGGTGCAGCCCCTAAAACAAGGGAAGAGAGAACGGGTGGAAGGGGGAGTGAGAATAATGGAGCACGTTTGAAAGTCTAGACGCTTCGCGTATCCCCATCAGCGCCTGAGCTCCTCGCCGCCCAACCCCAGGATGCGGCGACCAGAGGATCAGAAGAGGAGTCGCCCGCTGCCAGCTGGCTCAACAGGCCCCAGGAGAAGGCGGAACTGCCCACGACCGACCAACGCGCCGAGGATCACGACGCCACTCTGGCCTCCGCCAGCGCCTCCCCCCAGCAACCCGACGCACCTGGCCTGCCCGACGGGCCCCCCGTAGAGGCGCCTTCCTCACCAGAGCACTTGTACGGCAACGGCAATGTGGAAGGCATTGACTGGGATGATGACGCCAACAAGAAATCCGAGACGGACGACAGCCCGCCAAGTTCCCCCGACACAGAACAGCAGGATGGCTTTGCACACCAGGCTGACGACGCAGACAGTCCAGCTCACACCTATCCGACGGCGGCCCAAGGTCCCGCCCCTGTATGGACCCAGCCCCCCCACAGGGCTGAATCCGCAGCCTGGTCCCCATCTGCGCGGGCGTCAGATCGAGGGGCACCGCGCGACGCATGGAGGAGCGACGAAGACCCCCGTAGTGAGGAACGAACCTGGAACGTTCGTATCGGTGACGGCCGGTCACTCAGACAATCGGGGAGCGAAGCAAGCCGCCGACCACCCACCATCGCTGAAGACCGCAACAGGGAACACCCAGTCGCACCACCCCACAGCTCACCAAGGCAGCGCCGCAGCTCACAGGGATGGCGGCACGACGCACCGACAGCAGCAATCCCACCTGCTCGCCGAGACGACCCCATGGGTGGCCTCCCCATGTAACATGTACCTGAGACCCATCGGCGAGGCAGACGTCACAAGGGACGAGCCCGCACCAGAAAAGATCACGCGAATGCAGAGGATGCTGGGGGGTGCTTTCAACGGGGTGTGGAGCGCCTGGGTCAAAAAGGCGGCCCACAAGCAAGGGAGCTCCTGGGTCAACATCAAGTCTGACCCCTGGCGAAACACGCCACAGCAGTGCGACGACTTCCTCCAGGCATGGAGCTCGGTGGGATACGACGCCTACAAAATGGACAGTGAATACCAGCTCCACGTCGACCGGCCGAACGTCATGGAGAAGCAGCGCAAGCACATGCAACGCGACAATAGATGAGGCGCAGTGGACCCCCCCATCGGAAGCGGAGGCAAACACCTGTGGACCGATGAGGGCCAGGAGGCTGCAAAGAACCCCCCGTGGGCATCCGGGGACAGAGCCACACGGACAGGGCCAGCTGGATCGGCAGGCCCCTGGCGTTCCTGGCAGTCATGGGACGCGTGGGAGCACCAGCGTGACACTTGGACCGACACAGACTGGAAGGCCAGGAGGAAGCGTTCCTCCCCCAGAGGCGATACCCACTACGCGGCAAGCGTCAGCGTGGGTGGGACTTTGGCCCCAAGTGATCGCGACAAGGCCTCGACACCTGACGCCCAAGAACCCCCCCCAGGTCGGAGGGGTCTGCCCGCCCGCTCAGGGCCCCTTCGCAGCCGTGCCTCGCGCCTCCCCCCACCGGCCCCCTAGGTCCTACCCCGGGCCCCGGAAAGGTTGCCCCGCGTAGCCAATCTGCGGCTCAAGCCTTTCTTCACCCAACCATGTCTATTCTCAGTGTTGCCACGCAGACTGTCATGGAGCGCAATGCCTGCTTTTTGGACAATGACGGCCTGGGGCAACTGGGTACAGCCTCCCCCACCCTCTACAAGGTGGTCTCCATCGCGCTGACCTTGTGGGCTATCGGGGACCCCTCCGTTCCTGGCGGCGCCCGCTGGGTCGGCAGCCCCATGATCCTCAACCGACCCTTTGCAGCGCACAGCAATGCAGGGGAGAAGGACTGAGGAGCGAGGCGTGTCTGTCCCCCATAGTCCTGCCTCCCTCGTGGGCGTCCCCCACGGGCAGGGGCTGGCTTCACCGCAGCGCCAGGCCTCGGCCTTAATACCCCCGTGCCACCTCTTCTGGGGCTGAGGTGCACCAATACCCTTGCGCTGTGCACTAGACAGCCCACGCTGGTCTCGTGGCTCCCTTCGTATGGCGGGTGGTGGCTGAAATATCCCCCCCCCCCCGTGCACCACTGGGACACCCACTTTGCCCCCCCCCCTGGGACACTCACTTTGGACGGCCGGGGATGGTGGCCATAGGCCCACCCCACGCGCTCCACCTGGCTCCAACGCGTTGCACCTCACGTGCTTCCCCCCCGACGACGCTGCCCTGCAGCTGGGACATAGCGCCCCCCAGCTTGATCAGGCGCTGCTCCCCCCGCTACCGAGGTCCCACCGCCACGCGCCGTGTGTTCACAGTGGCCAAGGTCACGCTGACATGGCGTCGCCTTCCCCTCCTCCTTTGATTCACTTGACTTTGCGGCTATCGGCTGCGTCTCCTCCTCCCCCCACTCCTCCCCCTGCGGTTTCGGGCACACGATTTCCCCCCACCGATCTTTGCACCACCTGGCGGCTCCCTGGCTGAGCCCCGAGGTGTGGTCGGGCCGCGCTGCCGCCTCGTGTTGTTCTGACAACTCGGGCCTCTGCCTGCCCCGACACCACCGGGGGCCGGACCTGGGGTGAGTGCGGTTCGGCAAGTGGTTCACCCTTTGCGCGACTATCGACGCTCCCCCTTCTGGTCCACCACGGCCCCCGTCTGACGCACGCCGCTTGGTTCCCCCGTCCTCCGTGATGGTTAAGCTTCCTGCGTTGTTCGCCGACGACGTGGTCCACCTCTGGGCGGGAGCCTCCCTCGTGCTCCTGATATTGCTCAAGTGGTTCATCCTTTGTCAGTACTCACGCCCTCCTACGAGGGGACCATGGTGTTAGGCCACGCCTGCTGCTTTTCCCCCGACACTCCGGGTCTAGCAGTCTAGGTTCGGACTCCGCGGCTGCATCGACGTCAGTGCATTGGTCAATGGCTCACGGCGATTCGCGCCCATGAGTTCTAGTGAGTGAGTGAGCGAGGCTTCCCCTGCCACCCCTCGTCTGCCCGCGCCTTCCCCGCCCTCTTGCCTCCGTGGCGAGCGGTGCGGCCCCACGTGCCCACTGTCCTGCCACTTGGCTGTTTGGCCCTTGCCTGCGTTCTATGGACGATCTGAGCTGGCGCCACTGTGCGTCTTCTCTCCGTCTACTCCAGTCTG